CCATCGGCACCTATAAACCTTCCCATACATATCACTCCACCAACGATCGAAGAAATCACGATGGTTACCAGACAAATCAAGTGTGGGGAAGCAGCACGTCCTGACAATATACCAGCTAAATCACTGAAGTCAGACATGGAAGCGATTGCAAACATGCTCCACGTTCTGTTCAGGAAGATTTAGGAGGAGGATCAAGTGCCGACAGACTGGAGAAAAGGATAACCTATCAAGATACCAAAGAATGATCCGAGAAAATGTGAGAACTATGGAGGCATCACACTACTATCAGTACCAGGAGAAGTTTCCAACAGTGTTGCTGAACCGGATGGAAGTCTCAATAAACGCCCAACTTCGAGATCAACAGACCGGATTACGTAAGGATTGATTGTGTACAGATCAAATCGCGACAATACGGATCGTCTTTGAACAATCAATTGTATGGAATTCGTCACTATACATCAACTTCCTTGACTATGAGGTGCTTGACAGTGTGGATAGAAGAACCTTGTGGAACCTTCTTCGACATAATGGTGTACCTGAGATGGTCAATATCATACGGAATTCATATGACGGACCACACTGCAGAGTCGTGCATGGAGGACAGTCGATAGATGCATTCCCAGTAAGGACCGAGTTCGACAAAGCTACTTACTCTCTTCCTTTTGATGGTTGACTGGATTACTCCTCGAATCCAGCTTTCAGTTAAAACCAGTCGTTTTTGAAGTCGCTACGGTAATATACGACGCAGACAAGTCTAACAACATTGATTTCAGTCGCGCAAACAAAACCGATCCTCCAACATAATGAAGGTGTGTTTAGTAGATCTGTCACTGCTCATCGGCGCATTGAAAGAATATGTGCTCCAACAATCAAATCCCAAACCACGCTGAAAAATCAAATATATTTATTGATGTAATTGATATATTTCTTATTGAAGTAAAGAACAAATCTATGGTAGGGGAAGGTCAACAAAGTCCCTGATTAGGTAAACTCTGGACCATGTTCAAATGTTCTTCATCAGATTCCATTCATTCTAATGACCCGATCATGTCGAGTGAAATTCAAAATAATTGAGAAGAATGTTTCAAATAAATCAAATTCTAAGCTATTGGTGTCATATTAGTTGCTTATCTTTGCAATTCATTTTTCACTGAATAGCATATTTAATGTGAATATCAATATGTTGCACATAATAATCACGCCTACAGATCTGATCCATGCCATTCATAGTTGACACGTTCTTTCTTGCTGACTTCCTCTCCATATTAAGTGATGAATATGAGTTTTTCCAGTCATCTCATTTTCAGCTTCGAGGATCATGTGGTTCAAACTAATACAACTAAAACTGGTTTCATAAAATGTGCAGACCGTTTCACACAATATACAGAGGCAGTACTCATCAAGAACATTACTGCTGAAACAGTGGCTCGCACCTTCGTTGAACAGTGGGTAGCAAACTTCAGCTGCCCTTCGACTGTCACTACAGACCATAACTCCACTTTCAACTGCAAATATTACACAATGAATAGAAGCTCTTCCACTCATTTAACTCCGCATTTGCAATGCTATGAAATCTGACATTGGATATACTGTAACACAACTGGCTTACGAAACAGCGCTCCAACTACTAGGACAACATATGGATGCTTCATCTTCCTCAATGGATACGGGCCTAAGCTTTTACACGAGCAGGCTTACAAACACCATGTATTCAATCAAACCTGTTTCAACTTGACCTCAGTCAACTGATATTTTTGTTCAACCTATCTTACGACAGTAAACACGTTTTCCTCCGTTGTGACTCACCTAAACGACCTCTCGAAATGACATACGAAGGACTCATCAAAATTCTTCAGTGTGAATTTAAGTGCTATATTATCGGTAATGACGGAACTAACGATAGCATCTAAATCGATCACCTTAAAGCTGGGTACTTAAAAGGAAATCGTAGTCATATGTATTCTGCTTCGATATAATCGAAAGACATGAGTCTCACAACTATGATGCCTCATCCGATAATCAACAATCGCGATGAAACGTCATTGGTGCCCAACAACCGACTTAAAACAACGTGTTTCCGGAACACTATAAATGTCACTGTGCGTAGGACACTGACTAGTATTTTGTTCTATCTCGTTTGTTTGTATTGTTACGCCAAAAGAAACTGAAGACAAACAATACATTGTCAGATATCATGATACGTGTATGTATACTTTTACCGAAAAATGTCCAAAAGGAATAAATTGTACATATCCACCACTTTATTTTTTTCAGACCATTTGTATTCTTATGCATGTACGAATGTATTTCGACATGCACTCACAATCTCTTTTTTTCCTGGACGGCTGGAAAAAATAAAAAACCGATGAGAAATGCGATGAACAGAAAATTTCATCGAATAAATCATCTACAAATTTACTTGTATTGCATAAGTATTCAGCACGATCAGAATTCTTACCTAATTATGCCAAGCTTGAATCTGTTACGCAACATGGACGCTATGCCATTTGGGAAAAATATTTGAAAAACCGTACTCAGTGCAGTACTAAAACATAGACCTAGTCACTAACGCTCTGAGACATCTGATTTCAATTATTTAACGACCCTATTTGGGAAGCATACTGTAAGTGTGAGTACAGCAGTAGGATTTAAAAAATAGTTTTTCGGGGTCTAGATGTAAATACATCGCCAGTGTAAAGAAACAAATTATGAAAAAATGCAGCAGACTCATATATGTGCATTTACTAAGTCACTGTTCAGCAAAGGGTCTGAATAAAACTGCTGTCATTTCTTACCAACGAAGATTTCAAATATTTCTAAATATGTAATGCAGTGATTTGACTGAGATACATACACTTTATATAAAAAATCTTATTTCATCTAAAGCTTTCGGCTATACAGAAAAACTCATTTTGCGGATGCAACAAACTTTAGCGAAGTTGATAATTATCTTATACAGTCGTTCTTAACCGGACTGCTTGTTAACAAGCAAACTTTCCACAAGACTGAGAAATATCAATATTCTCATTTTTCATTTTTATTTTTCAGAGTTAATGAGGCGGAATATGATACAGAATCAATTACGTCCACAAGAAAGCCTCTGAAATTTTAAAAAATTAATTGTGTTAGATATAATAGATAATGTTTAGCAGGTGGATTGTCTTCATTTTAAATTATATTTTTGCCTACTACACACGATATTATGTACTACATAGTGTCTCTTACAAACGTTCACTGTGAGTTTTAAGCAACCTGAAGTTACATGAAATCACGACACCAAATTGTCGACACAAAAGAGACACTACTGGACAAAGTACAAACAGTGCAGGAGCTATATTGTATAAGTAGTTCCAACAAGCTAGGAACGATTGCTCAAACGCACTAAGTTGAAGTCAATATATTTGTCTTTAATGCGAAATCTTACTTTACCATGCAAGCTCCTCTTGATAGGGTGGAACCAGAGTCGTTAGGTCCTTAACGCACAAACAACATTGAAGGTAACGCCGTGGTGCTATTGCAAAATACAGTGTTTTAAGCATTTCAACCGTTATGAAGAACCCATATAGGCAAGGATATAATCTGCAGCACAAGAGGAACTTCGGAGATGAACCTGATTAACCCAGTTTACGAAGCATCTTGAATAGGTCTCACATGGTCTAGTAGCAGGAATTCTAGTCTTCCTATTTATAGGAATAACCTTACACAGCAAGTAGGCTCTGTGATATTAAATTTTGACAAAGATACTAAGTTTCGGAGAGAATTTGACAACAAAGACGATGAGCGAGCACTTAAGGAAAAGTTTAATCAACTTTAAGGTTCGAAAGACAGCAATGGATTGCTTTTAACTCTTAAGCGTACAAAGTAGTTCATTTGCGAGATACTACAAACCAAATGTGTATTTTCCCCCTAGAAGTGCTACCATGTGTTGAAGATGTGTTATTGGTACCCAATAGTAAAAAATTTTATGCTGTGATAAGAGTGCGTCTCGAGCAAACTTGGCACTAGTAACGCTGAGGCATGTTTTTGGTCATGTTAATAAAAGAACTGTCCACTTAGTAGTTAACACTATGGAGATTCTGCTCTTCTTAAACCACATTACGTTAAGGGCGCTATAGGTATTTGGAGTTTGATAACACATTCAAAGGATGCCAAACCAGTCAAATCAGAAGTCAGAAGTGAAGAGATTCGAAGGTATATTTGGAGAGCTATCTAAATGTCGAGAAGCGTTTCGTTTAAGCTAGCTAAAAGTCTAAAGGAATGTGTAGCACTACGTACCCAATCGTGATATGATGCGTATGTGTGGCCGAGATGAGTGCAATAAAATTAATGGTCAGCACCAATGTAGAGGAATTATGGGACTATTCTTGTTCCATGAAACATTCTTTCACACAAGTAGAATAAGAGAGTATTTCAACACATCCCCCATCGAGGCTCAAAATATATACAACGCACTAGGGACCGGCTTTTTAAGGAAAGTTTTAAATTGACGGGTCTTTATCTGTGGGAATAAAAGGAATGTAGATGTAGTCGAATATCCTTAAGAATTCTAACACTAATAGTCTTCTTTTAGTCCAGTTCGGAATCAAAATTTTCGGAAAATACACAGAAATCGTAGAAGAAACTTTTAGAGTTGAGAGTTGGAACATGTCATGTGGTGAGACCATAATTTATGGACGATCTTTGAGCCTATTATCTTATACCTAATTGGTTCGTCCTTAAATTAGTCTCGTTTCCCATGCCCATAACAAGTGGTCAGCTCTGGTAGTTTTAACAAATCCATAGGTGATCTAAACAGCCCGACTGATATCCTGTAAGCAGAAATATTCTATTTTCCCTAATAACTAAGGATTTTCACTCTAATTTACTGATTCCTTCCGTATTTCAGTTTATTTTGTAACTGTAGGATTTTTTTTCGAGGCACTATAGATTTATTCTCTGTTGCAATTTAAGCTGGTTTAGCGAATTCTTCAATCATGTTTTTATTGTTTTAACCCTTAGAACAGATGTCGTCAGAGCGCAATATTTCAGAATTGTTTCGTTATGCGTTACCTTAAGAATTTGGGAGGCGTCGTCAAATGCAGAACTATCCCGTTTTGTTGTGAAAACAATGAACTTTTCACTGTTGTACCTAAAAAGAAAAACGTCCTGCCTTTAAAACCTATTATAAAGTCTCCGCATAGTCTACTCCGATCACTTCCGAGATCTCCGTACACTTCATGCACTTGCAGTTTATCTGGTAATATATGTTCTCCTAAAAAGCATTTGTATTAGCTCCAATGCAGATCCGGTTTGTGCACACGGACGTTACAAGTGTTCCTGATTTCACGAAATACCGCCTAGAGTCCACTAAAGACCCTCATTCACGGGCTGCTGACAGCGAAGTGCATCGCAAGATATTCTCTTATACGATGATGTTTGGTGAGTGCCTTTCAATGCCATTTAGGACAGATATCTAGGTCGCTGGTGCATCCGCCAAGTCGTACTATTTCGTTTTATCCTCGCAATTCTTGGGACTGTTGTTCTCCGTGTAATTCGGAAATGCGTCATTCGGCCTCACAGTCTGAGATGTTACCACTGAGTTCTTCAGACCGCCCAACAAGCTATGAGCACATTTAGGGTGGAGCGGTCTTTCACACTAGCACTCAGTGATCGTCTACCATATATGTCGTAGTTCACTACGTCAGTCCTTCGTGTGTACCTCTTTCCCGAGGTGTTTAGTAGTAGATTTTATTAAAATTCAGAGTTTTTGAGCATCCGGGTATGTCACCTTCATAAGTCAAGTTACATAAAATAACATCTTCATAGCTTGGCCATTATAAATTAGCTTCCTGAGACCAACAGTGAAGAGGCTTTATTGGTTACAGGGGAATCTCATAACGTCGGTAATGTAGACTATTTGTTTATTGCCCGACGATTAGTGTTGATAGTGTATGAACTCATCAATCCACTTACGTACAGTTCAGGAGGCTTTTATCGGTCAGCTGCTTCTTACTTGAGTTAATATGCTCAGTTCATTATTTGAACATCATTTTGACTTTGGTAGCTCAGAAACATTTTAGCCACTTCATAACATAATTTTTGTGTAGTCCGCCGCAACTGACTTGCTATATTTATATGGGCTGAATTATTTCTGTTTTATTCTGTAAAAGGTACTCAATTAGTTGCGTAAACAATCTTATCGGTCTCATTATTTCAGCGACTGCGATGATTGCCACTACATCAGCCAAGTACACCGTTAGAATGTTCATTGAACCTCTGGGACCTTCCTCTAAAACTATGGCGGAGGCCTCCACGGAAGTCAATTTGGCTTCCATCCCTGAAGGGAAAAATATTACAGTCAAATGGCGAAACAAACCTCTTTTTATTCGCCATAGATCAGCGGAAGAAATTGCCCGCGAACGCGCTGTGCCTCTGGAAAACTTAAGAGATCCTCAGCTCGATCAAGATCGTGTCAAAGTAGATAAGTGGCTAATTTGTTTGGGCGTATGTACACATTTAGGTAAGCATAAAACTTATTATATGGTTAATACTTCGTCTCCTTAATTTTCTTCAGATCTCACTGTTGGGACAGTATAAACCTTTTTTACTTTAATCTGTGTTGGTAGTTATTTACAGGCTCATTAAGTTCACTCATTTAATTTTCACTGTAAGCTGCAGAACTGAATGTTATCAATCTTACATGTCATCCAATTAAAGTATTCACTGCTGCTGTGTTAACTCTCATGAAAACAGCAATAGTGTAGAAATAAAGGTGACGTGTACTTTTGTCTTTTTTGCTTTGTTCATGAAATGATTATTTTGTCTGAGAGCTATTTCCAACCCTTGAACATTATTTAGCCGCCTTATGACAAGGTTGTATGGGTTACTACACCGGTTAGAGAATACGATTTCAAACGGCATCTCTGAAAACGACAACTGTTACTTTAGATTGGAAGGCAACAGTTCGGTAAACGATTTGAAATCGGATATAAGAAACATCCTACATGCGACTACTGACCACTATGACAATGTAAAAGTGGCAGAACAAAGCGACAAAAATAACCTGTGACAAAATATTTATTCCCGATAACATTCATCTGGTTGCATCGTTATTGAGTGGTCTCTATAAGTAACTTATCTACATTTGATAGAACACAAGATGCTACACAAACGTAGTCACAATCCATTATGATAAGATTTGGTGCCATTTATCGTGCGATATCTTCATTTTTCCAATTATGCAGTGTTCGTTTGTATTCATTAGACAGTAGTTGCTTAGTAGTTCGTCTTGTACTAATGAATCGATGGCAACTTAATAATAGTTCCTTTATATTGTTCAGGATTCTTGTCAGAAACCATAAATAAGTCCTGTGCTTGATTTATCGAGCACTCAAACTGGAATGTCGAGTTCACGGGCTAATGTCTAATTATAAAAGAATTTTCAGCCTGGTAACTGTCAGCCAGTACTTGTATTTGAATGGTAAGTAACGAAAATTATTTCTGTAAAACGGTCAACTGAGTTGGTGTTGGGAAAGGTGAATCAAACGACGCAAGTAAGGGCACAAAGATGTTGGATAAGAATTTATTTGACTCCTTGAAATAATATATGAACACCCTGTATTTTGTGTAATTTGTGTACAGTCAGATTTGTATAAAGTGAATTGAGTAATTAACATCAATTAGTCAATAACTCACTATGTGAACGTGTTTCCAATGTAATGTTATTAATCATCTTTAACCAACAGATATTTATATTTTATTATTTATTTTAACACATATATTGGTACAAGGAGGCACCAAATACATATGAGCCACACAAATCTCATTTGATATGTGTGAGGGTTGTGATATTGCCCGGGTGTTCAAACCGAAGCAGGTGGTTTTCTTAAGAGGCCACACCCGGAGCCTTCGACCTAAAAGTCTGGTCCATAAGGCAGTGGAGCATCGTAAGAAGATGCAGTCTCATGATAGCCGGTGACCAACAATTGGTCCATGCTCCACTTGTTCCTTCAGGATCCTGGAGCCCATGTGCACCATTGGTTTGGAATCAGGGTTTTCCAACTTCCGTAGGTGGACTCTCCATGTCCAATAACCTGGTTGAAGCACCGGACCAACATATATAACTTGTTAAGTTATATAGCTACTCAAAATGTGACTACATTGCACAGACGATTGGTGAAAAATTAATTAAATGTCATTTGCACTCAAATTGACTAAGTTATTGCTCCCCACATCACGTTCCCTGACGAAATTTTATGGGATCCTTGTGTGATAGCATTGGAGCAATGGTGGTACTTCTGACTTGTTTGGTATTCACTTTTGTTTTTATAGAAACCATTTTTTTTGTTTCGCTCACAGACTGGAGTTTCACTATTGGTGTTATGTTTAAGATATTCCTTCCTGATTGTTCATTACGCCCAAACTTTTAAGATCGATCCCTCTCACTGAACAGATTACTTGTCATATAAATTGACTTATAGCAACATAAGCAATTAATTGCCATAAACTCAGCTAAAGATTGTGAAATTAAGACTAAATGTGTTGAACTTAAAATGAGGAGTATTTCGGAAAATTTTGACTGCGATGTCTTGGCTGAATTTGAACCGGTAGTGGCTAAAAAACTTTCCACAGACCCTGTTGTTTTACTTCCTCCAACTTTATTTTTATGTAGACTAAGATTTTCATTTAGGGCGTCTTCTTCCTGACGTGTATTTGATTCTGGGTAGATAATTTTGGAGTGGAGGAGAAGGGAATCTTTCATCTTCAAACGTTTTCCAAGATCCTCAGGAAGTAATCTGGGATGTCGTCTTTGTAATATGTTGATTAACTTTGTTAGACCTTTTCATGATTCTACTTGAACTCCATGAGATATGCAAACATTCGATACCTGCCATAACGACATCAGGAATGTGAACTGGATGTGACTCATTTAAGTTATAATTCTCACATTGATTAGAAAATTCACTGAAAAGTGAATTGCGAAGACAAGCAACTAATATGACACCAATAGCTTAGAATTTGATTTATTTGAAACATTCTTCTCAATTATTTTGAATTTCACTCGACATGATCGGGTCATTAGAATGAATGGAATCTGATGAAGAACATTTGAACATGGTCCAGAGTTTACCTAATCAGGGACTTTGTTGACCTTCCCCTACCATAGATTTGTTCTTTACTTCAATAAGAAATATATCAATTACATCAATAAATATATTTGATTTTTCAGCGTGGTTTGGGATTTGATTGTTGGAGCACATATTCTTTCAATGCGCCGATGAGCAGTGACAGATCTACTAAACACACCTTCATTATGTTGGAGGATCGGTTTTGTTTGCGCGACTGAAATCAATGTTGTTAGACTTGTCTGCGTCGTATATTACCGTAGCGACTTCAAAAACGACTGGTTTTAACTGAAAGCTGGATTCGAGGAGTAATCCAGTCAACCATCAAAAGGAAGAGAGTAAGTAGCTTTGTCGAACTCGGTCCTTACTGGGAATGCATCTATCGACTGTCCTCCATGCACGACTCTGCAGTGTGGTCCGTCATATGAATTCCGTATGATATTGACCATCTCAGGTACACCATTATGTCGAAGAAGGTTCCACAAGGTTCTTCTATCCACACTGTCAAGCACCTCATAGTCAAGGAAGTTGATGTATAGTGACGAATTCCATACAATTGATTGTTCAAAGACGATCCGTATTGTCGCGATTTGATCTGTACACAATCAATCCTTACGTAATCCGGTCTGTTGATCTCGAAGTTGGGCGTTTATTGAGACTTCCATCCGGTTCAGCAACACTGTTGGAAACTTCTCCTGGTACTGATAGTAGTGTGATGCCTCCATAGTTCTCACATTTTCTCGGATCATTCTTTGGTATCTTGATAGGTTATCCTTTTCTCCAGTCTGTCGGCACTTGATCCTCCTCCTAAATCTTCCTGAACAGAACGTGGAGCATGTTTGCAATCGCTTCCATGTCTGACTTCAGTGATTTAGCTGGTATATTGTCAGGACGTGCTGCTTCCCCACACTTGATTTGTCTGGTAACCATCGTGATTTCTTCGATCGTTGGTGGAGTGATATGTATGGGAAGGTTTATAGGTGCCAATGGATTCAGTGGAACTGGCTTATTCAATAGTTCCTCAAAGTGATTTACCCATGTTTCACTTTGTTCCTGAGTCTCAGTGATTGGCTTGCCTTCTTTGTTCTTGACTGGTCTCTGGCTTACTATATTTCCCTGATAGTTTCTTCGTTGTGTCATATAGTTGTTTCATATTTCCTTCTGCAGCTTTATCCGCTGTCGTTGCTAGGTCTTCTGTGCATTTCTGCTTGTCAGCTCTAATATTGCTCTCCAGTTTCATGTTTGATTGTGCTTGTGCGTTGAATTTCTCTGCTCTTGTTCGGCTGTTGTCAATCGATGTCTTCCTGTTCTTACTTTCTTGAATATTGTCCAGGATTTCAATGGAGATCAATTTCTTGTGATGATGATTCTTTCGGTCCAGGACCTCCTGACATGTTAAAGTTAGTGCTTCTTCGGTCTTTTTCCAATTATCCTCCATAGTAGTTTCTTCTATGAGTCGATCTTGGAATGCTTGAAACTTGTTGCTGAGAACTAACTTGAATTCGTTGAGCTTGTCAGAGTCCCGAAGAAAGTCTGCATTGAATCTTTGTAATGCTGCTTACCCAGTTGTCCAGTGCTTCTTTAGCTTCAGATTCATCTTGGCAAACACCAGTTGGTGGTGATCTGAAACTATGTCATCTCTCTTGGTTCTCACGTCTTCCATTGACCTTCTGAATTTTCTAGTGATGCAAATATGATCGATTTGATTCCCTGTAGTGTGTCCCGGTGATACCCATGTAGCTTTGTGTATGTGTTTGCTGGGGAATATAGTGCCATATATAACCACTTTGTTGAATGCACATAAAATTGTATATCTGTCACCATCCTCGTTCCTTCCTGCTGGTCCATGTCGTCTCATGATATCTTCATAACCGATGTTGTCCATTCCGACTTTGGCGTTTAGGTCTCCCATAAGGATGGTCAGGTCCTTTCCTGAACACTTGGCTATGATTAGTTGTAGCCTCTCATGAGACTGATTTTTATCGTCTTCATTGCCATCATTGATGGGTGCGCAACGTTGGATATCATTTAGTGTGATTTCCTCCCTCTTTGTTTTGAAGGATGCTTTGATGATTCTGAGTCCATGAGATTCCCATCCGATAAGCGCTTTTAGTACTTCTTTGGACAGCATCAGTGCAACTCCCTGAATGTACAGAACATTTTCTTCGTGACCAGAGTAGAACGGTGACTCGAATCTAATTTTACCCGTCAAATTTGGGTCCAATGTGTTTCAATCATTCTGAGCTTCACCAAATATCTCCTTATTTCCGTAACTATTTGATTGGTCACTCCAGTCTCCCACATTGTCTGGACATTCTATGCACCTATATTCACTGTTGGTTTGGTGCTCATAAAGGGCATGGGCCTCATGACTTTCGAAGTATCTCAGCTTTCACCATGAGGTATCATAATTCTTCTTAATGAAGATCACTTCTCTCCCAGAACAGAGTTTAAATGGGTAAATCTGTTTTGTTCTAGTCAGCGTTTTTAGGAAGTTGACTTCTACGGGATGGGGTTGCTGTCCCCATGCTCAACCTTCCTCCTATTTGTGGACTTGAGACCTGCAGTAACCTTTGAACAGCTAAAATCGGAGTTTCACTATAACAAGCTTGACTGAAAATGTAGAAACCTATGACTTTCCTTCAATCTTGGGATCCTTGATTCCAACATATCAAATGAAATCTGTGTGGCGCATATGTATTTGGTGCCTCCTTGTACCAATATCTATGTGTTATATTAAATTGAAATAAAATAAATGGGATCTTTGATTAAATTGAGAAACAAGTCGTATCATTTCCACATGCACCCGAATCATTGTTCCCTTGGACAACTTTTGTTGGATTGTATCTACATGGTGACGTCTAGATTACCTAAGACTGAGTGTAACATTAATTTACTCTTTTTATGTGCTGTGGTAATACCAGCCCATATACATTTGTCTTGATTTCCACACTTTTTAAATTGATACGTTGCGTCCAACATTTTAATCAACTGGTTTAAAAGTTCTTACCTGTGATCTCTCAAATAATTATCAGCTAAATATAGTGTTAACTGTTAAAGTGCTGAGTTTCAATAATGAATTCTTTCCAACTATTGTTTGGTAGGCATTTGATGGTAAGATTATAACAAGGTTTGAAGTATCTTCAATGTCTTTACTTTAAAGGTGTTGCTGGGAAAAATATGACTGGTGTGACGATTAAAGTACTTTGTCGTTCCCTCGTTCATCGAATACAAAATATTACTTTTTACATTTCTTGACTTGTAGGCTTGTATGTAACACACATGCCATCTAAGTAAAAATTAGATAGTGTTCATCTGAAATATCTTCATGATATTCACGTATCTTGGTATGCGAGTATCACTGAAGAATTATTGCTCTAATATGATTTGTTCATAACATCGATGTGGTTCCAATATGTGATAATGTTGTTGAGATTTGCCTTATGATGTAACATTTATTGTACAAACTGTTAAGTATAGAAATTGATTTTCTGTTTAGACTTGCGATTATCGTAGTATTTCCTCTCATACTTGACAATCACTATACCCATGGTTGATTAGGGTTATAATAGAAAAACTGTATAGAGTGAGATGAGAGTGAACTACTATGACACATTATTAAAAGGAGCCATAGTGAAGCATCATGTAAGGTTTTATGGACTTCCTTATTATTTTG